CGCTATCAGCATTATAGTCATAGAAGTCATCGGAATCAATAACATCATTCTTATCACCATCAAATAGCTCTTCTTGCTATTATCATCATCATCACTTCATAGAGTTCCTCACTGATTAAAAAATAAACAAATACCATCGCCAGCATCATCACTATTGTTACCACCTTCATCATACATTATCATGATTCATCATTATCATAATCACATCATAAACCCGTGTAATCTATGATTTTCATTTGCCTACCTGACGATCATTATTTCCAATGGGATAGCTGTCCTTCAAGTCAGTCACACAACTCATCAGATATGGAACCCGACTATTCAGCTTCTACAATATGAACACAGACAGACAGGTCAGACCAATAGACACACTCAAACCAACAGACAGGTCAGACCAACAGACACACTCACATCAATAGACAGAAAGGTCAGACCAACAGACACACTCAGACCAACAGATAGGTCAGACCAACAGACAGGTCCTACCAACTTACAGGTCAGACTAACTTACAGGTCAGACCAACTTACAGGTCAGACCAACAGACAGGTCAGACCAACTTACAGTGGCAAGAGCTTGTTGTGTCAAGTGCCTGAAGCTAAGAATGACGCCAATGATTATCACCCGTAGCATGATGTCCTCCATGTCTAGCAACGAGAAAAATTCTCACGTCAAGAAAAGAAACTTAATAAAACTTATGAAATGAGACGTTGCTGTTGCCACTCGCTCAGTAATTACGATCTACAATGATTTCATTTTTTTAAGGCAATCAGCAAAATGAGATTTGAACTTTAGCTTGGATGTATTTTTTTCCCATTTCAGACCACGTGTAATCTTCTTAAAAATAAGATTCTTTGATACTCTAGGGAAAGACACGTGGTCTGATATGCGAAAACAATACATTTATGCCCAAGGTAAAGAAGTCTATTTATCCGAGTGCATATGAAAAACGTAAGGAAAGAAAACATTAAACATTAAACATTGTGCCGTTTCGGAGTCGTCATGACATCATTATCAAGCTAGTGAGAGTGGACGTAAAGTAACTAAGACCAGAACACTGTCGTGACGAACCCGAAACGCCGCTCTGTTATTACCCATTCCGAGAAGGAGAACAAAACTGGGTCGAGTTGGCAGTGCAGTGCATCGAAATAAACGTCATATTGATAATATTTTCCCTAAAACAGTCCACAATGCACTGCTATACCAATTCGACCCAGTTTTTTTCTCAAAAAACTCTCTTGGAATGGCTAATATGTTTTCTTTCTTCAAGTTTCGGCATCTGAGAAAGGAATTTCAACTCACTTTTCAGGCGTCGTATGAGATCAATACACTCGTCCCGTTTATCAAAACTCGTCCTCAAAGCAATGAGCACGTCTTTATTATTGACGACAAGTTTCTAGGAGGGGGAAAAAAACGCAAGTGGGTATTAAGGGTGACTTCCTGTGGGGAAAAGACTAGTAAATCAGAAAAAAAAACTTTGATATTTGTAACGCGCATATGCGCGCTTTCTAGATCCAAATAGAATTGGAAGTTGGTTTTTGCGGGGGAAGGAAAACCGTAGAACCTGGGAAAATCCGTCGAAGCTCAGGAGAGAAACGATAAACACATACGAAGAGTCTGAGGATTGAACCCGGGTCGCATTAGAGAGAGGGGAACAGGGAGAGGAACTACTTGCGTTACCGTAACGCGAGACTAACAGCAGCAGAGTTCGAGACCAATGCATACCTTGAGCTCACCGACTTGACTAGCAATCTGTTGCATCATTTTCTCACCCAGATATTTCATGCCATAAGCTCCCAGCAATTCAGATAAGGCATACATTTCTATTAACCAAACAAAGATGCACAACAATCACTACCACTACGTTTAATATTCTAACCCGCGGGGGATACTCCCATATATAGCCTATTGCAAGTTTTCATAGGAAGGAAGGAAAACTAGAGAACCCAGAAAGCCGCCATTAGTTTCGGTCTCAGATCCTCGAGAGAGCCCGTGAGGACCTGGGGCCAAAACCAATGACAGCTTCGGTGGAGGCTAAGAAAAACTCTCAAGGGAGAAAACAACACGTCAAACAAGCTTTGTTCACATTTAGAGTCCGCGACCCGACCCTACAATATTGGAAGGCAAACACTCTATCATTGCTCATTTTTTATTTATTTTACTATTGGACTCACCATTCACATCCGTGAAATCCTCAGCTTTAAAAGCGAGGCCAGGACGGTTGACGAAGGCCCTTCTACGAGGCGAGTAAATGATGCCATCTGTCATCACACGACGTAGGAAGACATCGAGGTACCTGAGCAAATATAAAATGATAATCTAATTTACTGCAATTTTCGTAAACATGCGAAAAACTCTGTGTCTCCGAGTTGCACGCTAAAATTTGTTTTTTCGCTGCCGTCAATCAAACCTAATCAGTCGGTAACTTTCATATTTTTGACTGACAGCAGCGAAAAACCAAATTTTAGCGTGCAACTCGTAGACACAGAGTTTTTCGCATGTTTGTGAAAATTGCAGTAAAACGTTGCCTTAAAAATGAACAATAATTGGATGAGGTTTTGATGATGTCCGAAGTTATCAATGTCGAGGTAAGTGTTATTGGCCAAAGCTGTAGGGTAAGGCCAATAACATTTACCGATACATTGATAATTCCATGCGGATTTGGAGTGGATCTTCGCGCCAAAACGAATGCTTTTTGCACTTAACTGAAAGTATGAAACTCTCAATATGTCGCTGATATATACGATGTAAGTGAGAAATGGGTCCAATGTACTTACCACGTAGTGTACATCTGTGTGATGGTATTTGCACCCTGGCTATCCTGGGGTTGTGTCTGTTGTAACAGTACGTGATTAAAGATGCGAGCTGTGTCCACACCATCTGACACATGATCAAAAACACCGGTAAGTTGTCAGTAATAAATTTTACAATAACTGACAACTTTCTCGCGCGCTGATTGGTTAATTTTTATCATCAATAAGAGGACAGACAGATAAAGCTGACGTCAACGAGCGCGCGCTCTTTCCGTTAGTTGTTTTGATCAGTAAAAATGAGAAGTTTTTATCGTTTTTGTTATTGTAAAAAACAAATTGACATCAGATTTTTATGTTTCTGTCCTCTTATTGACAATAAATTTCGCCATCACATTGTCAAAGTAGTATGCGGATTCACTCGGCTACGCCTCGTGGATCCACACTACTTTGACAAGGTGATGACGCAATTTATTGTCAATAAGAGGACAGACACATAAAAATCTGATGTCAATATGTTAAGTATCGTAGAACCGGCCAATAAGCCGAACTCTATTTACCGGCCAGTTATCAAAGCTTCAAGGATTTTGGGATTATTTTATACTTCTACTAAGCAGCCAGCCTCAATAGACCGCTTCACCTTGGGGGTAATGTTTTCCTATTTGAGACCACGTGTCATTCTCTTGAGAATATGATTCTTTGTTTGAGTGGTACCTATATTCATGTGTCTTCTCGTGTGCAACCATTAAACAAAGAAACAATACTCTAGGGAATGACACGTGGTTTGAAATTGGAAAACATTGCTTCAAGGTATGACAATAGACGATTTCCAAGATGCGCGAGCGCTTTCATAAATATCGCAGGCGCAGACATGAAAAAGAGGCATTTTCGGTCAGTGTGATAAGAAGCCATTGCCGGGAAACCATAGAGTTAAAGGCGATTTCTAAATCCCTTAAACAAAAGATTTTGTCTGAGGTGAGCTATATTTTTTGAAAACGTTATTATCCTGCTCCCCAACTAAAAGAAACTTCAACTATTCCTTCGTTAACATAATTTTCAAAGTTTTATGTTTTTTCAAAGAGCGCGTAATAGTCCAATCCGTCCAAGGGAGAACGGCAGACATAAATTTGTTGATTGGTCTTCCTGTGGTACATAATGTAATTGATTGGTCTTCCTGTGGTATGGACGCGCATGCGGTTTCTTAAAAGTCGCGCGGACTCACAAATTAACAAATAAGACCAATCAACAAATTTATGTCTGCTGTGCTCCCTTGAATAGTCTTGCTCTAAAATACCTCGTTTTCGAACCTGAGCACGCGGTACTTTTGTCAGCGCTCGCGCATCTCGAAAACGGTTCATTCCCCGAGGGTGACAACCAACTAGAAATTCCACTACATATTCAAATGATTGGTCAAAGGAAAATACTCACTGAAGTTTTCGAGATTTCGGAGGGTTGACATTATGGCCTGCAGAAAATAACACAAATGTTATCACATTTTCTTTCCATGAAGCAAGGTGCAGCATTTGTACACCTTCCAATATTTTGATGACTGACTATAATGTTACATTTTAGATATCCATATTTTGGACTTTCATTTGGTATTGATATAGTGAGTAAGAAGCCGCATTAATAAATGTTAAAGTATCAGCATTTGCACTGGAAAGCATACTGAAATGGCAACTTCTCGCGCAAGATTGTTGCAGTTTCTCACGCAAGATTCTCGTAATTTGTCACACAACATTGTTGCACTTGGTAACACAACGCTGTTGCGCTGCATTGCAAGATGAAAGGCGAATGTTCTAAGTGCTTGTACTACCACCCTGAGCGCAACACATTTTCATTTATGTTTCCTCATCTCTTTGCAAAACGAATCCGATGCATGCTCGCATAGTTGTATTGCCTTGATAAGGGCAATACTTCAGTGTTGGCAGCTTCCGTTTGACAATGATGTTGGTCGTTGCCCATATCTTCCCACTTCCGTAAAGTGCTCACCTTAATATTACTTAGCACTTCACTTGGTCTAGCAATCCTTGAATTTTCTTGGTCATACTGAGCCATGCTGATCACAGACCTAGACAGATAGTATAAGGTTATATCCACACTACAGCTTGCAATGGTTCGTAGTTCGATCCCTAAAAGGTATTTCCTGTCTTTGAACCCTATTAGTCATTCCAAGGTTGATGGAAAAAACTGGGTCGGGTTGGCACTGCAGTGCATTGTGGGACTGTTTTGGGGGACATATTTCCAAGATAGAATTTGTTTCGTTTTGAAATATTTCAAGAATGTTCAATAGCCAATCAAAAGCGTTATTGTCATCTTTCCGTTATCTTATTGTTAGAAAGTCAATAGACCCTTTTCGAGTTCCAAATTACCGCTGTGTTTCTTGATTACAGACTCACTTACTCAGGCTTAGCCTCGATTTTGTGAAGAATATTCATGTGTTCCAGTCAAGGTCCGTGGAATTTCAAAGTGTTTGTATTGTTGAAGTTGTGCATTCTTTACTTTACCGTTGGTATTTGTGAATATTTAAACACTGATACGAGGCTAACTCTGTGCAAATGAGTCTGTAATCAAGGAACACAGCGGTAATTTGGAACTCGAAAAGGGTCTATTCTGATTGGCCAAAGAAGAATAGAACATTCCTAGAATATTTCTAGGTGCCCACGGTTTTTCGATTCGCACTGTAAGACAGCCACACAATGCATTACAATGCATCGACCCAGATTTTCCTTGGAATAGCTAATAGGCAATCGAGTTATTCATGGTTCCGACAATAGCCAACTAATCATTGTTGCAGCAGTTTTCACAGTGGAATTAAAATCTCGTCCTACAAGCAACTACACAATATCTGTTTTAAAGAGCACTGCAGGATTACGAGGCAACTTTTTTTTATTTTCACGCAACAGTGAACAAGTGAAACAATCTCTTGCTTGTTTTCAATCATTCCCAAGAGAATTAAATAACAAAAGACACGGCGGCCATGTTAGAGGATATAACGAAGGAGAGTAATGATAAATCTGTTGTTAAATTCATCCAACATGGCGGCTGTGAAAACCATCAATAATCAATTTTCCACAATCAAAAGTTCTATATTCTGAGATATTTTAGATAATTTGTTGAGCTGAGCTTGTGGGACACAGCAACGGTAACTAAGGGGCATCAAAACTATGCAGAATTGCTTCTTCAGCATAAAGATTGACAACATAAACGATAATAAATACCAGACATTTCATATTAACTTACTTAGCAAAAAACTCTTCCAGTTGGCTGCTAAGATATTCCTTAGGGGCAAAGACATGTTCCCAGACAGGAATAGCCTCTGTGTGGCAGATAGCCGAGCACAGTTCCGTGAAAGCTAACAGCTTATTATCCAGCCTACAACAAGATTCACGAGAAAAACGGTTAAAAGCTTAGAAAATCTTGTTTTAATTACTGGGAAAACCTTGTTCATTGTTTCGACGCTCGAACTGAGATCATTTATAAAGTTAACCAATCACAATCTTATGTAACCTGCGTCACATCCGGAATTTTCTTCGTATCCGGATGTGACGCGGGCTAAATCTTACGTTGAGTCATAGAATGCAGCCAATCAGCAGTAGAGCAAAAAGTTAACCAATCACAACGTGAAGTGAAAACAAGGCGTAGGCGATCAGCCAATCATAACTCGCGTCATATCGTGGCTGTGTTACAACACCATAAAAATTTTCCATAAGAAATTTAAAGCAAATAAATAATCCAAAGGCGGACATAGAGGGATCATCAAGGGGTGCGCATCCCTCCTCCCCCCTCCCCAGGTGAGCTGATATCTACTGCTTTATTGGTGCGTGAGTTTGTGAACGTCCTGATCATAAATGATGCACCAGCCCCCTCCTAAAAAATCCTAGTAGTCAGCCAATCACAGTGCGCGTTATATCGCGGCTATGTTATGAGGATCAAAACTTACGGTGTCAAATTTTCTCTGTTTTTCCGGAAACTCTCACTTCCAGGAGGTGAAAATTCTTCCTGAGTGTTTTTCTTGTTCTTGTCTTTCTTTTTCTCACCAGACATTTCAGACAGAAGACGAACAGCTCGAGTGTGCCATAACTAAATGAGATTTATTCCTATTTATTCACATGAAACTACACAGGACTTCAAATAGAGTGTTACAATGATTATGAGACGATTTTTTTTATTTCCAAAGAAGAGGAAACAATCTAATAAATAACTTTCCTTCATCAGATATTTTTTAAATTTTAAGATATTCTACCTGATTGGTTGAACTTATGGGACATAGCAACGGTAACTAAGAGGAGTGGAAACAAAGCAACGGTAACTAAGGGTAGTGGGTACCATCAGTTGGATTCTGGAGGGATAATGCCTATCAAAATTGTGGCGGTTTTGTGCGTTATGATAGCAAATGGCGGCCTTTTCTTACCTGTTGATTGAGCTCAACATGGTCAGTACAAACTTGACTCAAAAGATTCCTTGCTCCTTTTGCCATTGAGTCTAAAAACATATTGATGGCAGCCAGACTACGTTCACCTATTGGATGGCGCTAAAAAACAAACAAACAACACTGTTTTGCTTATTTGGGAATCAAGGATGGTTTACTAGTAGTACACTTGACTTGCACTCGTAGGATAATCCATTGCTTTCCCATTTCAAACCATTTTTCACCAAGGCTACTCTGTGGTTAAAATTGCTTGTTGGTTTTTTCCTACTGTATTGGCCTCGATTTTGTGAAGAATATTCACGTTTTCAAGTCAAGGTCAGTCAAGTTTCAACGTGTTTGTATTGTTGAACTTGTGCATTCTTTACTTTACCGTTGGTATGTGCGAGTAATTAGACACTGATTCTAGGCTTAGCCCGAGTAAATGGGTCTGTAATCAAGAAACACAGCGGTAAAAGGGTCTATTGCCATTTATTACAATTGATGGATTGCAAAAATTCTCAAGAGAGTTAAAAGACAAAAGCATGGCGGCCATTGTGGTGTCGTTAACAAGTTAACAATGGATGCTAATAAGAAATTATTTGTTAAATGGCACCAATGCTCCTCCGAGAGGCCGCGATGACGTAACATGCAAACGAGGAATTTCGTTCTAAAACGATGACAAGTGGCCCAAAATGGAGGGGGGGGGGGTAGAATAGGCCCAAACTAAATTGCATCTTACATCACAACCTAGAGGACAGAAGCATCAAAATGTGTAATGAATAAATAATATTACCTCTTCTGGACAAAAATCGCTGGTACAAGACATAAAATGACCACACACGAGAGGAAACGCAATGGAGTACCTAAAAAATCAGAAACACGATAAATTAATTAATTACATCAATTACAGTTTTCAATATTAGCTTTAGTGAAAATCGAAATTCCAACAGGCAACTAAAAAAAGGTGAAAGTAAAAGTAAAAGTACTAGTCTCCCTCGCATCYGTTTTTAGTGTCGGTCGTCACGCAACGTCCTCGCGTTGCGTGACGACCGACACTAAAAACGGATGCGAGGGAGAGTATAAAAGTACGGGATTCTAGTGACATTGAAATACTACAGAAACATGCGATATCTTCGTTATTACGATTGTACCGTTCTTACCGTAGCTGGGCTGTATCTTCTAAAGTTTTTAAAAATGAATTTTCGCAGAAATTGGGATAGAAACTATAATAAAAACAAAACAAAAAATTTATCCATAGTCATCCAGAGTGACTAATTATCCAGAAGAAGTCTGTCATATTAAATACAGAATCGTGCATTCAACTTTAAAATGGATTTTTCTATCAAACTCACTCCAATCTCAAAGATTTTAGTAGAACATGAAATTATACTTAGATATTTGATAAGCAATTAAAATATAGAAAACATGTGTGCAGATTCTGGGGGAGGTGGAGGGGGGTACTCCAATAAGAAGGGCAGGGATGCTCGTCAGAAATTTCGGGAATGACCCCTAAAAGGTCGAGGTGTGCATGGTAACTAATGATTTAAGTGACAGAAATTAGATGACGAACCATAACTCACTATCCTGAATGACAGCTATCAAGAGAATATGAACTAAGAGAAGGAATCCCCGTGTCCCATCATGTGAACACTTTGATGCTATTTTTAGAATCTATTCTAAAAATATCATCCAATGATATCATTTATTTGATCGTTTGATTTTCTGCAAGCGCAAAGTACTCGCGCGCTGTACGCTGTTTGCTAACGTTTTCTTGTGCTTTTCTTATCTTCAAATCTGCCCTCAAGATGACGATGTAGGTCGAAAGCTTTGGAAAATAAATGTAAAATTATTTCATAAAGTTGAACAAATTACTACTTTCATTTCCTGTCGTATTTGCCAAGCTTTCGACGCGCACATTCATATCCAGGGCGAAATAAAGGAAAAACCCCAAAAACGTAAGCAAACAAGCGTAGAGCGAGCGCGCGCAGTAAATGCGCGGGCAGAAAAATAAATGGTTTAAAAATAGCATCAAACTGTGCACATGATGGTTACAAGGCTATATAGGGGGAATTCCTTCTCTTAGTTCATTTTCTCTTGCAGCTATCCATTTTGGCCTTCATTAATGTAATCTTACACCGTAGGTATTATTAATTGACAAAAGCCATAAGAGGTACCTGGTTGCCCTCTGTTTGTCCTATTAATTTTATGACAATCAAAGAAGTACCAAATCATAGATTTTAGACCCTAAAATGTACGACACGCATCCCACCCTTTTTCAGTTGGAGTACCCCCTCCCAGGGTGCAGACACGGTGTTAGAAGTATAGAATAGAAGCATAACATATTGCAGTGCTTCTCAACACTTTTACAAGTGTTCTGTCAATGCCCAAGTGCTTTAAAATTTCACATAGCACAGCAAGCAAGGTTCTTATTTCTTAGAGTAACTGTCAGTTTGGATAAGTGTTCACATAACGCACATGTCCCCAACCAATCAGAAAGCGAGATTTATAACAGTTAAATTTTTAAAATATCATCATAAATTATTTCAAGCACTATTTTTAACATATTTACCAGAATATAGACAGGTCAGACACATCAAAAAGTATACGCTCCTGTCTGTCCACAAGGCTTGTGTGAAATGCTACGTTGTTCATCAGTATGGATAGATCTCTGTTGTCCTTAAGTTCAGGTGAAGAACCACGCACACTAGTGTATGCCTGTGGGCAAATACATGCAATAATAATAATAATAATTGTAAAAAATACATGATAGTACTATCGTAAGGGCAATATGTGGCCATAGTATAATAAATATTAATATGAATAAATGCAGAACACTACCAATGAAAGGGTAAAATTTCCAAATTCCATATATTCCATTGTGAAGTTTCTTAAGAAGGGACGAAGAGCGAATCTCGACTTACAAAAAATTACACCTTTATTATCATACTGCCTGAGGAAGACTCACAGACCTGAGTCAAACATTTGTAGTCTGAACATTTTAGATCTGATTTAAATCCATATTAATTTTTATATGACTTTAGGGACAGAGGGAGGGGGGTGGGGTTTAAGGCTATAATAAGTCATCACTTGTTTACTAGTAGTACGTAAATTCACTTACTTTCTTACATGTACAAGGCAAAAATGAGACATTACGGCTTGGATAGAGTGCGAGGGTTTCTATATATATATATATATATTTCTATATTTTATGTTTGGAAATTCATTGTAAAGCGTTATAGAGTGTAATATATAACGCTATAGAA